GAGAACTGGAAGAGTAAAAGTGAAAAAACCAACACCCTCTTGTGTTGAGATAAAGGCAGCTTAACAGGTAAAGCAAAAGCCACCCACACAAGCAAAGCAAAACAAGGAATTCATTCCCTGCTTCCCATTGGCAGGCAGGTGCTCAGCCACCTCCAGGAAAGCAGGGCTCCGTCACATGTAATGGTTACTTGGGAAGACAAACGCCATCGCTCCGAACGTCCCCCCTTCCTCCTTCTTCCCCCAGCTTTCTGTGCTGAGCATGAGGCCATATGGTGTGGGATATCCCTGGGGTCAGCTGGGGTCAGCTGTCCCAGCTCTGTCCCCTCCCAACTCCTTGTGCCCCCCAGCCTGCTCGCTGCTGGGGTGGGGTGAGAGGCAGAAAAGGCCTTGACTCTGTGTAAGCACTGCTCAGCAGTAACCAAAACATCCCTGTGTTATCATCACTGTTTGGAGCACAAATCCAAAACCTAGCCCCATACTAGCTACTGTAAAGAAAATTAACTCTATCCTCAACGAACCCAGCACAATCATCACTGGAAGTCTTGAGGATTTCTAACAGGGGTTCAGCACACAGTGCCCTGCCCCACCTTGTCGTATAACTTTGGACAGTGCTGTGCTGATACGGTGAGAAGTGCGGTATCTATTTGATTTACGTTGTCAAGTGTGGTATCTTCATATGAAGTACAGCAACAACAGCATTTCTTACTGTAGAAAAAACAGGAGACGGTGTTGTTATACTAATGATTTTTAAAGATGTATTAATGTGCTGAGGAAGGTGCAGAGACTTAGAGCCTGTAGGCTTCTGGGCTCTTCCTTCTGGAGAGAGGTAAGAGCTCAGAATCATCCTGACTGACGCAGGCTTGTTCCAAACACTTTTCTTATTACCTTATAGCTGCCCAGAGACATTTATAGGCTTTGAGTTCAGGTTTCTATGTTCTGTTAAGTTCTTCCTGTCTCTTTTGGGTTTTTTTCCTCCTTTCTTTTTATCTGCTTTTGGCCCCTGATCTAAAGAAAATTAGAGAGGATGGAGGTGGGGAGGAGATGGGACAGAATTCTGTTTCACAGTTGTTCCTTTTTTACAAGTTAAAGCTTACAAAAGAAACATGAATGTGTCTCCATCTTGTAAGCATGTGTACTACCACTACCAGCCCACGGATCAAAAGCTTATTTGAGGAAATAGCTAGACGTTTTTGTATATATTTTAGGACTCCCTTCTTCCTTTTATTTTATTTTAATATAAAATTAAGGACACTCCAACATGTTGCCCATAAGAGTTCTGTTACAGGTAATTAAATGTAAGTTTACACATTTAATCTACTTTTAAGAGCAAGAGAGACTGGTAAATGACCCAGTTAAGGAAAGTACTCAGCCTAATTGGATGTAATGATTGCTTGCTGGTGTTTATTACTGTACTAAGAGTAGACGTGTAGTCTGTGATTCTAATTTGGTTTAAAGACAGACCTGTAGTATTTGCAGCTATTATCAGAGTTCGATTGTTTCAGTTAACATCATGAAATAGGCTTGTGTTCATTTAGGAGCTTAAACATGTTAGAATGGAAGGAACACTCTTTTTTCAATTAATATTGCTCTCCAATCATTATCTCTGCAGACTGTTTTACCTACAAAAATATCTTAAGCTAGATATGCTAGCGCATATTTTTGCCTGAGGAAAATAAAGATAGATTCCACATCTTTATGTACATAATGCAACCAATTAACAATAACTAAATTCACCAATGAGCTGATTCATTCTGATTTATCTGTGAATATTGTCTTCAGCCTATGAAATCACCACATTAATGTTTGATTTTGATTATTTCTATATCATTCTAAAAGAGTTGAGTTCCTCACTAATGTAAGATCATTGAGAGAGCTGTATCAAAGTCCCAAAATTTTAAATTTCAGTAATGCTTATTACTAAAACTTCCCTAATTATAGACACCTTGTTGCAATTTGCACTCACAATTCTGGGCTTCCAGGAAATGATATCCAAGTGGAACGTGTTGTATCCCAGGGTGTTTACCATAGAAGATATTTGTTGCTTAAAAATAGAACACTGGATTTTATGCCCAGCGGAGCAGCACTTGGACTTCAAAACACTTATGTAATTATTCTTTATTTCATAAGCTCTCAGAATGATAAATGAAATCAGAACTGACTTTGAAAAGCAAGGCCACTGATGACCAGTGCACTTAGCCAAGGCGTCTCTACATTTGCTATGATGGATTTGGGAGTTTTATAACGTAATAGATCACACACAAAAATGAAGTTAAAGCAACATTAAAGTCACAAAAGCAAGGATATTCAGAATGGAGACTTTTGCTTCATCTTAATTCACCGTGTTGTGCCTAGTTGTTACAAAACACAGATCAGTGAGAGATGTTAGCTATTTTTATGCTATTACACAGACATAGCAAGGTAAATTAATGGCAGCTTTAATTCTAACTGACTTCACTTATTGTGAAGGAAATAAAAAAAAAACCACCTCAGTATTATTTTGTTGTGCCTTTCAATATGTATTATCGTTTACTATAGTTTAGTAGACTCTACTATGCTAATAGAAATTCTCCTAAGGTAAAAGAAAGATAATTTGCCTCTTGGATGTGTGGAGATGGTAATATTTTTATAACGTAGTATGTGCTCCAAAGCCATGCTAGCTCCTTCTGAAACTTCAGTACTTCAAAATATGAGATTATTGCTCCTCTTGAAACTACGTAAAGTTATAGAGACAGAATGTGTGACCCAGGTAGAGATGGAAAACTGTGACCAGAAGAAAAAAGATTGTTCGTGTACCAGCTGAATTCCTTGATGTGTTTGGGGTTTTAGACTAATTCAGTTACCTACAATTACACCTACTGCAGAACAAATAGAATAAGAGCTCATAGTGCAATACTTACCTGCAAGTACTAGAGGGAGCTGAGGGAAGGAATCAGGACAGAGGAAGAAAAGAAAGGAGAAAAATGATGGTGAGAACTTTCATTTGTGTTAGTTGCTTGAATAGAGTCTTATTTGATGCCAAGCCCCATTTACAGCATTCGAAACATAATGTCTGTGCATTATTCACTCTCTGTGCCCAAACACATACATTTGTATGCATATGCCAGTGTCTACTGTGTATTTAACGTAGAACATCTGTGTGTGCCCATGCACACTTGGGAAGGAAGCAGGTTAGTTTATCACAATGTGTCTTCAACAGAGTTACCACTTTGTTCATTGTTTCAGTATTATCTAGAGCAAATCATAGATACCTTCTTATGAAATGGATGAATACACTCTGCTCGTCTGGCAGAGTTTAATGTAAGACCTCTCTTTCTTGATTTCCAATTCAAATGAATCCTGTTAAAATTACTAAAAAACATCGCTCTTGAAGACTATCTTAAGAGCACAACACAGCATTGAAGCACGTTTCTAAATAGCTTGCTTAACAGGATAGGGAGTAGGACGCACTGAGAACTGACTGAAACCTGTTCTTTAATTGGAATATTCATCTTATGTTTTTCATTACCCTTTTTCCTTTGCCTCTCATGGATGGTTGTTGCTAATGCTCCCCTCCCCTCCTGGTGGGCCAGCCAACAGTTCCCTCTGGAGGCAGCATCATTATATCTGCCTGGTTCACTTAGTAGCAGATGGTGAAGAGCAGTAGAGCTGATACACTGCATTTCACAGAAACCAGGATCCTTCTGGTACCTCTGCAGCGTACACAGACTTGCCTGATTTGAGACTGTGAATTCTTTATATGCCTCCCAAACTAGGTTTCCTTGTTTGCTCCTGTCTATGTCAGTTTAAGAGTGATTTTTATGATCTGCTCTGTTGCTGGACAATGAAGAAACTACTCATCTCCAGCTTTCAGCTACTGGAGGGTCTATTTCCCATTTTATTTCTATTTTTACCAAAAATTAAAAGAAAACAGCTCTGATGGCTTTCATTTTCACTGGTTGACACGCTTTTCTTCCCCCTCCCCTTTTTTGA